AGGAAATGAGATAACCAAATAGCAATAGCCCTTAGGCTCCAGGTTGACTCAGCCTTCCATCCTTCCGAGGGGAGTAAAATGAGGATCCAGATTGCTGGGGGCAAGAGGCTGACTCTGTAAACCGCTTCAAGAGGGCTGTAAAAGCTCTGTGAAGCGGTATATAAGCCTAAGGGCTATTGCTATTTGGTTATCTCATTTCCTGCATTTTCACTCGCTCCTTTGGAATGCATTTTCTTCCGCGAGATAGAATTTCAAGAGGGAGTAGTCTGTCTTTGGCACCGTGTCAAAAATACGTCTTATAACAAAAGGCCTCTGTTGCTTACACATGCTTCCTTTTCAGACAGGACTTGGCAGGGCTTTTGATTTTGTTTTTATATCTTGTCTATACAGGTGGTCCTCGACTTAATTGAGCCCAAAATTTATGTTGTTTAGTGAGACATTTGTTAGGTGCCCCCCACTTTATACCCTTTCTTGACACAGTTGTTCAGTGAATCGTTGCACTTACTAAATTAGTAATAGGGTTGTTAAGTGAATCTGGATTCCCCATTGACTTGGCCTGGTCACAAGGCCGCATAAGGGGAGCACAGGACAGCAGGACACGGCAACCGTCATAAATAAGAGTCAGTTGCCAAGCATCTGAATTTTGATCACATGACCATGGAGATGCCAAGTGGCAAAGTGGCCTAGAGGTGGAGCTCTCACCTCCCAATCAGGGTTCGATCCTAGGTAGAGGCAGATATTTCTCTCTCTGGGCACATATATATCTGCTGAAGAAAACTCTGCAATGGAGATAGGAAGGGCATCTGGCCAGTAAACATTCAGCTCTATTCACTTCACCCCGCATGGGATCATGGAGTCATTAAAAGATGATGATGATGATGATGACGACGACTATGGGAATGCTGTTATGGTTGTAAAGTGTGAAAAATGGTCGCAAGTCAATTTTTTCGGTGATGTAACTTCGAATGGTCACTAAATGAACAGTTGTAAGTTGAAGACTTAACAAGACTTAGTGGAGGTGATTGATCAATTAATAACAAAGCCCATCTGCCCCCCCCCGCTCCGTTCTACTCCTTCCCTCCCTCCCCATCTTTTAATTGTGTTGCGGCATTGAGCTTTCTGTACTAACTTACTTATGTTTTTAATTTATATATTTTATCTTTTTGTGAGAGTAAGTCACCCAGAATTACCTTGAGGTAAGATGGTCTGCCGATCAATTCTACCAATAAAACAAATAAAAAATAAAGGTACTTGAATAAAGGGTTAGAGCCAGGGGTGAAATGCTACCGGTTCGGACCAGTTTGCCCGAAACGGTAGTTAAAAAAATGCTACCGGTTCAGGCGAACTGGTATTTTATATTAGCTAGAAAGCAGGATGTCCTGCTTTCTAGGTAAATCTAAATAGTGTGGCACAGCAAATCCGCCTCCATGTGCCCTCGCTGTTCTACTTACCTCTCAGGCACTCGGTAGCAGGCTCCGCCCACCCGGACGGACATCATGACGACTGTTTTTGTCCCTCTGCGCATGCGCGGAAGATACTGCGCATGCGCAGAGGTGGCGTCTGCACTCACATTTGCGGACTGGTAGCGAAGGTAAGTACTGTAGATTTCATCCCTGGTAGTTAGAAAAAAAATCCAGGATGCATTTGATAAAATCAGGAATGTTCAGAGGAAAAAATGGTAGGCCAATTTCTCAGGAAGATGGCAATGATGAAATGCCGAAACGCTGAAGCAGATAACATTCATCGCAACTTTTTGTAACTGGAGACACATTTTCGTTGGCGCGGATGCCAGGAGCTCATGCAAGACCCAGGAGGGCCCTGCTGTCAAAATGTCATGCAAATAAAGGCAGCCAATTTTATTTTTAGGGAGAGCATATTCTGAGCCTTTCCATTTTTATTGCTAGCTGCTTTCCATGCGCTGAGACTGTGGCAAGCTGCGGCGTAACTTACTTTCATTTCCTGATGCGAAACAGCTGGCAAACATGCCACACGTTTTTAACCATCTGTTACCCAAATGTCGGTCGTGCAGTTCTGGGGAATTAAGGCGCCTCATTGTGGTGCTTCTGGGAGCTTCTGGCACCCAGCACTGAGTGCTAAAATGGAAGCGCATGCGTGCACACGTGGGGGAGCGCCAGAAACCATAAGAGCAGCTCCCTGGCATGCATGCGTGGGACAGTGGTGGGTTTCAAAAATTGTTCGAACCTACTCTGTGGGTGTGGCCTCCTTTGTGGGAGTGGCTTGCTGCCCATGTGACTGGATGGGAGTNAAAGGCAGATTCCATGAGAGGACAGCTCTCGTTCCCCCCTGGCGGTTGACATCCAGATAGTAAATTGTCCGTCCGGATCAACACATGTGAGTTTTGGAGAAAAGGCTGGAAGTGAAGGAGAACTAGATGGATGGCTCTCAACTCTAGCCAATTCATACTGTATGATAGGTCTGAATTGGATCAAAGACCCTGCACTACTTGTTCCTCCAAGTGAGCTCCCCAGCCCATGAGGCTCGCGTCTGTTGTTACCACAAGACGTGGAGGGGCCCTGAAAAGAGAGCCCTGAGCTATGGCCAGGGAGATCCACCATTCCAGGAATGACAGGACTTCCGGGGTCAGGAGGACCTTCATTGAGGAACAGCTGCTGTTGGTCTTCTGGAATGGCAGAAGAAACCACTGGAGGCAGCAGCTATGAAGCCATGCCCAAGAGATGATGGAGAAGCAGGAGACCATCTTCCCCAGCAGTTGAGACAACTGGAGAAGAGGAACCCGCTGCCTCCTCCGTACCTCTCTGGCTAATTCCCTGAGACTGCTCTGGCGATCCTGGGACAGGAAGACTTTCCCCTGGGATGAATCTATGAGGGCTCTCAGGTGCACCAGGCAAGGAGTGGGGACGAAGTGACTCTTCTCCCGATTGATGGAGAACACCACTTCCTTTAACACCTGAAGGGTGTCCTGGAGATCTCTGAGGGCCTGGGTGCGTGACCTGGACAACAAGAGGATGTCGTCCAGGTAGCAGAACATCCGGATGGGCCTGGTCTGCAGATGTGCAGCTACGACTGACAGAAGTTTTGTGAAAACCCTTGGGGCTGAGGACAGCCCAAAGGGAAGGGCCCGATATTGGAAATGGAGGCTCACATGGACAAAGCGGAGAAACCTCCTGTGCCGTTTGTGGATGGGCATGTGGAGGTAAGCCTCCATCAGGTCCACTGATGTGAGGAGATCGTGTCTGCGAACACTCTCTAGAATTGATAGGAGAGAGTGCATCATGGGAGGAGGCTCGGTGTTTTCAGCAGGAGCAGGCCTGTGCCTGTGACCCCTAGGGGCAGGGGGCTCGATATCAGGGGCAGAGGCCAAGGGCAGAAGAGGTTCCAGAGAGGGAGAGGAGGCCATAGCCATTACTCACAGTTAGTTTGTTGCTTCAAAATGGCTGCCAGAAGTTTTTGCGCCAATTTCAACGGCCACTGAGGCTGCAGAGCCTATGGGCCGGAGCCACGAGGTAGCCGAGGCCTCGTGGTGAGAGTGGGCAGGTTAGGCCCTGCGGCAAGGTTGTGGAGGCTCGCTGCTATCTTTGGAGCGACAAACTGTGAAATTCAGGAGCTGGAACAGCGTTCCCCAGCCGCTGGCTAATACTTTGGCTCTAATTAGGCTCCCCGCTGTGTCTGGAGGCTCTTGCAGGCAGCGGCGGCGATTAGCAGCGAAAGCGGCAAGGCAGCAACCTGGGAGTCCCCAGCTGAAAGGATTAGGGCTTCCCTCGGCTATTTCAGCAAGCTCTGCTGAGATCTGATCCGGCAGAAAGCCAAAAGGCTTTTAGAGGCTAATCTCAACGAGGCACGGCAAAAAGCTCTCTAGTCCAGAGGCTTTAGAGAGTTTAACAGAGCCCAGACTGGAATATCAGTTTAAAGAAACAATTTGCAAGCGAATTTAGAGAAAGTCAATTAAAAAATCCAACCAAATCAATCAATTTTAACCAATTAATCTAGGAGAGAGCGATTTAACACAGCCAGTTCAATCGAACTGAGTCTTAAAAGGCGGGAGCATGCTCCGCAGAGCCGATGACATCACTTTGGTAGACTCAGTTCTATTGGTTACTGACTGAGTTAACCCATGCATGATCGCTGTCTCCACCAACTTAGGAGAATGACAGAACACGTGTTGTGATATTATAATGCAAGCTCCACCACTTGTATATGTTAAATGTGACACTCTGCTACAAATACAAAAGGGCAGACCATTCATTGTGTTGTCATGATACAGGTTTTGTTATTTTGGCATCTTTATGGCAACATGCAGGTTTTGATCTTCTTCATCCTGGATAACTACAAACACTATTAATGGAGTAAATTACATACAAATGACAAGGCCAAATCATAATCCTGTTTATTTCTGTCAAAGCACCTCTTTTCCTCCTCCTGAAGTGATCTTGTGGCCCAAAAAGAGTCTGTGCTTCAAAGGTATTACACTTTCTACTTATCAGACACAATCTTCTAGGTTACACTGAGTGCCCCCCTGAGTGCCCCCCAGTCTTTCCCCTGGAAGACTGCAAAAAGGCAATCACACGATTATAGAGAGAGCTGGCAACTGATTATAAATGTGAGCAGGCTGCCAACCACCCCAAATGTGGTGATGTGATCTTAGCTGGGTATGTGTAACATTTATATTTGTTAATATACAGTATGTCTTCTTAACATTCATACTGTATGTCTGTATAAACAAAAGATGGCAATAACAATATTTTGCCCAGTAGGAAAAGCTACAGTATAAGCTTCATTACTGAAACATGATTGAAGAAAAAGTACAAACCTGACCACAAATGAACTTGCCAAAGAAACGTGTTCATCACTGAATGTAAGCAGACAACAGCATTCATCTTTTACAGATGTTGGAACTTTCACATCAGGTAGCAACCCTTTGATCAGTTGTTTGCTATTAAGCTTTGGAGTCCAACTTATCTAAGATTTAAGAAAAAATACTTTGGATACTAGAAAAGTAACATTTTTCCTCTCCTTTTTTTTAAGTTTTACTGGAAATCCATGAAAACTTGAATGCCTTAAATGGAAATACTGTTAATGAAACTGAAAGTGCTTAAATTTAATATAAGCAAATCTATTTTATTGGGGCTATTTCTGAACACCCAAAATTATGTATATTCAACTCTAAATAAAAGTGTGATGTTCCCAATCTACTGCTGTCATGGTGGACCATGACAACTGTTTGAAATAATAAACAAAAATATTTTTCAAGAAAGGTGAATACTTCATAGTTCATGTATTTCTTTAAATACGCTATTATATAACAGTGATGGCGAACCTTTTTCGCCTCGGGTGCCAAAAGCACATGCGCGTGCCCACCCCATAATTTAATTCCCCCACACTGTGCCTCCTGTGCATGCACACATGATCCCCCAGCTGCCCTGCACATAGGTGCATGACTTTCTTGGAGCCCGGGGAGGGTGAAAACGGCTGCCCCTCCCTCCAGAGGTGAGAAATGGCTCATTTTCCAACTTCTGATGGGGCTGATAGGTGCGTTTTTCACCCTCCTCACTCTCCAGAGGCTTTATAGGAGCCTGGGGATGGTGAAAAACGGCCCAACATGCACCTGGAAGTTCAGGAATGGACTTTCAGGTTGCCCGCTTTTCTCCCGCCGGAGGTTTCAGGAAAGCCTCCCAAAGCCTCCGGAGGGCGAAAAATGGCTGTCCCATCTGCCCAGACATCATTATGGACACACTGCACATGCACAGAAGTGCCACAAGCAAGCGCGCTCCTGGTTCCAAACCAGTAGAGAAGATTAGAGCATATCGTGCCTGATCTAAGGTCAAAAGGTGGAGAAAAAAATGCAGCCATATAAGGAGATGGGGAAGGGGAGAACATGCATAAGTTTTTCCCTCATTATCCCATAAAGTAACATTGAACTCCTGCTAAGTTTTTGTTTCTGCCAAACTGCAGTAAATTGAAAAAAAAAATTGGCATTAACTTCTGCAAAAGTATAGTTTCTTTTTGGGCTTCAAACATAACTGTCTTTTAAGCGTATCTTAATAGTCAGCATTTAATATTCTTCAAGGACTAGCTCTTCACATTCCACAGTAACATTTAAGAATGAACATTTAAAAAATTTCAACAAAAGTAGGCAGTTTTCTAAGTTCTATATGTGTGACAAAAAAGAGAACAAGCTGAACTGCTGTTTATTTCCTTTCCTTGAGTTTTACAAATATTAATTCATTATAAAAGATATGGGCAGCCTAAGTAACAATCTATTTTGCTTAGAAAATTTAGAGCTGCTAATTAAATACATTAACATCTAGGCACATTTCCATTATTACATTCACAAGATGTTCTATACTTACTTTAACCTTTTTAGCTAGAGCTGGAGTTATTTTGATTTCTCTTTCTCCCTCGTCATACATTTGGAAAGTAAGGTTTTTTAGCACATCACCCGCAACACGGGTAATTACTTCCTCATTTTTAATCTGAATACGTTTTTCTCTTTCAATGCAATTAATCTGCAGTTCTGCAACACGGCTACTAGGAACCAGGTGAATAGTCTTGTTCACCGGTGACACATTTTTACAACTCTAACAATAAAAACAAAAAGAAATACCACAAGGAAAAGAAACTTGAATTTTCAAAGCTGTATAACAATATTTTACCTAATCAAACCTAATTAATAATAGTTATTACACTATGAATATTTGTAATATATTTCTTAACAAAATAAAATATATCTATATAATATATCAGAATACAATTAAGAAACACTGCATTTGTTTTTTAATATGCTATTCCTACCATAATAGTTCTGGTGTCAGTTACAATTGTGATGGTTATGTGCTTTTCTTTCAAAAGAAGCAAAAATAAATTTTATTTTTAAAAAAGATTCAGTTTTTATATACTATTTTAATTGAAATTAAAAAATTACAAAGATAAAAACAAAGGAAAATATAAGCAAGAAAAAATACAGAAAGGACAAAAACACATACCAACACACATAATATTAAAAAAATTAACTTCCTCTTTTATCCAAACAAATATAAACATTTTTAATAGCTTAATACCATCTCTGATATTTCAACCAAAACTCTTTTCATTCCATAAATCATCTTTTATCTATCAGCAAATAATAAAAATCTTTCAATCCTAATAAGCAAAAATCCATGTCTAATATATAAAAACAAATCTTTAAAACTTCATCATTCAAATATAATCAAGAAAAATACATTTAATTACTAGAAACAAATTGAAAATATTAATATTTGATCCCTTCAACTGATGTTCCACAAATTAATTTCTTTTCATATCTTTTCATCTATACTCAATTATCAAATTATAGCTTATTATTTCCTCTAAAAATACAACAAAATCTTCTTCCTATATCTTATCTATAAAAACAATTTTAATGCCAAAACATTAAGGCCTAGTTAGGAAAAACCATTGAAAAGCTGTTAGAAAAGAGGGGAATCAGATACTATAGTTTAACCTTGATCAAATAGGTCCACTTTGTACATCTTAGTTTTAGTTTTAAAGATCTGGATTCTTTTTAGGTAATGTCCAAATTGTTTCTTCTTCTCTTTTGCTTTTCTCAGGAACTCCTTCTCTAACACCTCTCTTTTGTAAATCAAAAGTAAGAAAATTGTCCAAGTCAATTTTCTGAGTTAAAATATGACTATTCAAGTTGTTGTTCTGCTTTACTATTTGTGTATGTCTTTTAATTATTGAAACTTCAGCAAGTTTCATTTGTTGGCTTTATATAACATCTTATATAGCATTCGTACATCCATTCATTTTAAATTCATATGCAAAACAGTCTGATTTTTGTTTATATACTATACTTCTTTTAAGACCATTTTATTGATTCAGACAGTCTAAAGCATGGGTGTCAAACTGGCAGCCCACGGGCCACATATATCACACACAGGCCACACCCAAATGGGAAAAATCTCACAAAAGGTCATGTGAGGACAAAATGACAGTGAGTTTGACATCCATGGTCCAAAGGTATGTTTTGGATATACTGTTGCTCCAAGTATCCTTAAATTTTTTCCACGGTTAAAATATTTTTCTTCATTATATTAGTGGGAATTCTCCTTTAACTATAATCTGTATTTATTTCTGATTTCTTCCTTAACCAGTCTTCAAGTTATTTTCTTATGTTTTTCTCTCATCCCGAACATTTTCCAGGAAAAGATTTCTTACACTAAAACTCAGATCCTCATATAGTTTAAAAGGATTTTACACAAACAACAAGCAATATTCTAACTTTTCCAACGTGTTATTTCCATTCAATCTTGATCCAGTTAATTTCCTTCCAAAAGCAACAGTCTAACAATTGCTCTTTAGCGGCTTAATTCTAAATTTTTAAAAAGGTTTTTCTTTAAATTTTACATTTATATATATTGTTCACTTCAGGTTGGAGGAAGAACATCCAGTATAATAAAACTTACACTTCTGGAGGTTCTTAATGTTCCAAAAGTAATTTATAAGCCACTTCCAATAAAAGTGATTTAGAGGAGTGGTGAAAAAACACAGGGTTCTTATAAAATGCTGATACTCCCTATTTGTAAAAGCCATGACTGACATGAAACTTGTAAAGATATGCTTGCACAAAATTAACCAAGTTCTAGGTTCAAGGATTTTTCTTTCGGTTGCTGCAGATGTTAACACAACTTGTTTTTTAATCCGCTAGGCAGGAGTCTAAGAAATTACATATATTTGTCTCCCATGATTTTCATGCCTGAAACTCACCTATAATCTTCAAAGAAATTAAAAGTTATATCAACATCAAAGACTATTATATGCTTTGTAAGCTTAAAAAAACCCACCCCCATTAGGCCAAAAGCATTGATAGTAGGCAGAGAAAAGCATATACAAAGTTTATAGCCAGTGGTGGAATTCAGCCAGTTCACACCTTTCGGGAGAACCTGTTGTTAACTTTCTAAGCAGTTCNAAAACCAATTCTTAGCACAGCATCATTTGGTTAGTATTCTATCATCTGGCATTGACTTACCGTCAATGGTTCTATCCAATCCGGAAGATCCAATTTAACAGGAGGGCCAGCAATCAATCTTAACTTCAGGTAATAGGATAAATTATGCCAAGCAACATGCAGTTCTTTAACTTCTGGTGGGCCTGGTTCAAATTTAATTCCTTTGATAGAAATAGTTTGTGTACTTTGCTATAAAATATGTAATAATAGATAAAAGCTTGTTAGGGTTTTATTGGGGGAAATTAGTTGATTGTAAAAGCATAACAAGAATATACATACTGCATATTTGATACAAAGTGACTGAAATCTAATGCTAAATTTGGTCCAGGAATTTATGTTTGTTGACAAAAGTTATAATCTGTTTCATAGAAATTTGGATCAAACTCTAGTGATAAATATGTATATCATTTTACATACAGTGATATTTAAGTGTTTGGGAACCCTTTTAAATATTTATTTCTACAGAAATATGACTTAAAACCTGACTGCTTTCCACAAAGTCCTAAAAGTAGGTAAAGAGAACCCAATTAACACATTTGTTTATGAATAATAAAATAGTTTTCCTAGGACTGAAAAGGCATTGTATCCTTTACATTAATATTAATGTAACTGTAATGGATTTATAACCACAAATAGGATTAAAACCTGTGTCAGTTAGAAATGTGATCATTAAGTGAGTCATCACATAATCAATTGAGTTTCACACCAATTTATGACCTTTCCGGTTCCCGGCCCCCGCTTGTTGGAAGCTGGATGGGAAAGTTACAAATGGTGACCACATAGAATACGGTAACTGTCATAAATGCATGCTGATTGCCAATTGCTTGAATCATGATCAGATACATGACTGCTGTGAGTTTAAAGAGCCACTGCAAGATACTTTTTTTCAGTACTGTCATAATTTAGAATGGCTTCTAAATGAATGACTGGAGGTCAAGAACTTATTGTAAGCTGCTTTAGTGATAGAGGTATAAACTCCTCTCTCTACTTCTTTAAAGCAAAAAAAATATTTTAATGGATATAATGTGGGATATTTAAAAAAAATACCTTCCAAAAAGTTTTCAAATCTGATTTATCCAGGCCATTCCCAGAAATCTTCAAGTCAGTCATACAAAATGATGCCAGGGACTGAATCTGATTTCCATGCTGATCGGTAATCATTATCTCTTTTATATATATAAAAAGGTACAAGTTATAAGAATACTGTAAAACATATTAGAGTTACAAAACAGATTAAAATATTACCATATTTATAAAAAGTTATTGTAAACTAATAAAAAGCTTAAAGCCCTCCTCAATGTTAAATACAACAGTAGTTTGATTTCATGCTTATTTAAGATCTGAAATGGGCTTCATGTTTTGAAACCCAAACTGAATATTCTACCACATAGCCTAAATATAATAGCAGTCTAGAATCTTAGTCAACATCAGAGGTGGATTCCTACCGGTTCGGCCAAGTAGGTAGTAACTTGGCTGCCTGTGCACACGTTTTTGCCCGCTGAACTGGCAGTAATGCCAGTAGCAACCCACCCTTGGTCAACATGCCATTAATGCAAACCTAACAGCACTAAATCAAATCAGAATGTGGGGCCAAATGTAAATATAGATCATTTTGCATAATATGGACAGTTTGGAACTCAATGCTCATGAGAGCTGACTGAGTAAATGAAAGCAACACGACTGCAGCTGGTGAGTATATCAAGCTGCTGAGGACTGCCATGGTACTATCAAGGCGTCAGTTAAAAATGTTAAGAGTTATACATACATACCAATTTCATCCTGCAGCTTTTCACCCATTTTTATTATATCTGATCCTTTAATTTCACATTTGATATGTTTTGGCTTATCAGCAAGCGGTCTAGTGAAATACACAGTGAGAGGTTAATATACTTATTTTAAGAAATAGTGGTAAATTTAATACTGTTCATACTTTACATAGTTAAATCTTTACTGACATTCAGGCAAGAACATCTGCAGAAATGGAGTGTGTGTGTGTGTAGAATGGTTCTCTGGGCAGGTGGAGACAGCGGTCATGCATGGGTTAACTCAGTAACCAATAGAACTGAGTCTATCAAAGTGATGTCATCGGCTCTGCGGAGCATGCTCCCGCTTTTCCTGACGAAGGAGATTAGTAGACTGCTGTGTGTGACCAATCGCTTTCTCTCCAGACTCAACCAAAAGTGTACACCTCTGCGAGGTAGGCCAGAATGCTAGGGTGGGGATGACCGCTGTCTCCACCTACCCAGAGGAGGGGCGTATCAGATAAGAACCACCACCCCATTCTCCTAAGTTGGTGGAGACAGCGGTCATGCATGGGTTAACTCAGTAACCAATAGAACTGAGTCTATCAAAGTGATGTCATTGCCTCTGAGAAACATGCTCCTGCTTTTCTTGATGGAGATAAGTAGACTGCTGTGCACTGAACAGTTGCTTTTCATCCTGTGACTTCACAACAATGCTCCCAGACCTCCCTTTGCGAAGTAGGTCAGGACCCAAATGGGTGGGGATGACCACTGTCTTCACCTGCCCAGAGAAGGGGCGTATCATGTAAGAACCAATGCCCCATTATCCAAAGTAGGTGGAGACAGCGGTCATGCATGGGACCTACCAGACCAGAGCTGGCATGTCCCCAGGAGGGCATGAGACTGGCCTAGGAGCTGGAGGACGGAAGGACCTGCTGGAGCACTCGCCATTCGAAAGCTCTATCAGCCGATGCATACCTATCTACCTTGTAATGTCTGATAAAGGAATTAGGGATAGCCCAGGTTGCTGCCTTTCAGATCTCCTCCTCCAAAGCCTGTCGCGCCCATGCCGCTGACGTGACTGCGCTGCGCGTAGAATGAGCCGTAATGTTCAGTGGTGGAGGGAGATGATGTGCGATGTAAGTTTGTGCAATGGCTGATCTGATCCAACGTCCAATCATGGAAGGAGAAGCTTTTAGGCCCTT